GGGGGGGGGGGGGGGGGGGCAGTTAAATATTAAATATGATATGATACATTATTATTATTATTGTATGTATAGATATAAAGATACATAAGAATAATTGCGATAGAGGAATGTTTAAGATATATGTTGTGAAACAGTGTTGCCATTCAATAGTTTATTTACCAACTCTAGTACATAAAGTGTTCTATATTTTACCTTAGTCATAATTTTATCATGATTATTATTGTATTGTATTGTGGAAATGTGTGTTTATGCTATATGTTTATGAAAAAAAACTATATACGGGTTGATAATGGTTTAGAGGAACCTGAATATGGTTTTGTAAATCTTTTCAATATATATAAAAAATATAAAAGTTAAAATAGTATTGAGCAGTCAGTCAAAGGAGTGTATTACATGTATTAGCCTACAGTAATAATTCAACGGCGCTGATGCAAATAGGTCTTTGTAAATGATTAATCTTGAGGCTTTCTGAAATCACTACTTCTTACTTTAACTGCCCTCATAATATCCTACAGCCCAACATGACACCGGTTCTTCAGTGATTACAGGGTAGGTCATGTTATTAGCCCCTTTTAGTCAGTTTTAATAAGCAGGTGTTAAGTATTTGGCTGCTTTCGTCAGTGTGAGACGTAGTTCCCCCTCACAACCTCCACGTCACAGACTGATCATACAGGAACCTCTTTGAATGAATGATAAGAAATGTCGGAAAGACCCGGCCGTAAAGCCTCTCCTGAGATCATTAGAGCCACTGACTGAACCCTTTAGATCTGTTTCATAGAGACAGGCCTAATGCTTGAGGCAAACGTAACACTGGAGCACATTAAACACATAATGAAAGCTCAAATGGCGTCAACAGTAGCTGATGGGCCGGTCTGCAGTTCAGTTATTTGAAGCGCGCATGCGAAATGGCGTATGATGCCTTTGGGTACAGTCGGAAATCTGAATTGCATGTAAATTGAATTGTAACATGGTGGAGCACCAATAGAGATTAAAACACACATGACAACACACAACTGCACCACACACGAGCACCATATTGACATCACTGACTGAATGTTTCATGTATAATATAGTAACATTGAAGATAGAAGTGGTCTATTACGGGCCCTGAACTGCTGCAGGCCCCTATGCAACTGCATAACTTGCATATACTGTATATTTACGCTGCTGCAGACAGTCATACATGCAGTCAGGATACTCTTGGTTGTCAGGTTGTTAACCGCTCTTCTGTATTCTGTCTCGTCGTTGTCAGTAGTCCTGTCAATGTCATGTCATGAGCAAACTTGACAACAAATTAGAGCAGTGCGTGGCCGTGGGTGTACATTCATAGGTACGTTTTCATTGCAGTATAATCACCTGAAAAGTAGAATCATTGGGTTTGTTACCTTACAATGGGCAGTTTTTATCCACAGAGAGAGTGTGGGTCGACTTCTACAAAGTCTGTAGTGTTTAACCGCCATGTTTCTAAAGAAGCCCAGAACAGGCCTGTTTCTCTTACTACCTGCTTGGAAGGCGAGTGGTATACAGTTGGTTGCAACCTGCAACTTCACTGCTAGATGTTGCTAAATCCTTCGCACTGGTCCACAAACACTTAAACACTTTAACTGAAGCTAATCTGCTTCATCAGGACTCTTTGGATGTGGTTTAATCTGATTGGATCGTCAGTGACTAAACAACACACCAACTGTCAACAGATTTTGATTTAAATATTGCCAAATCCTGATTGGTGCAGAGAAGTATGTGACATTACCTTTTTCTAACCTACAAAATAAAGAAACCTCAAATGTGAAATAAGTTAAACTGTTCTAACTCACTATTAAAAAATAGTGTTATAGTATATGTTTATATATATAGTTTATGTAAGATACAATTACATCACAGCTGACTGATAAAATAAGTTTCCAGGAGCTTAAAGTTACTTTTTTATAAACCAACATACAGACATACATCTGCATAGAACATACAAGAAATCATCCAAAGAGCAGTAACCTATGAAATAAATAACAATAAAAATAGCCCATATAATAAATAGTATAATTATTATAATATACATAATCACAATACATATTATAGTAAAAATAATCAGATAAACAAAACTAGAAGAAAATAATACAATATACGAACACAAAAGTGTATCCGAGCACCTGTGCAATGCTTTTATAGTCGGATGTTTTTTCCGCGTCTTCTGATGTCGAAGCTCGAGAAGAGCTCCTGAACGCAGCACTAGCGTGTGTGAGCAGTGTAGAGGAAGTGGCGGCTGATCTGGGTCCGCACCTTTTCCGGTAACACAGCACCGCCACCGCTGTGACTGAACGGTTGGAGAGAGAGAGAGAGAGAGAGAGAGAGACTGAGAGAGAGAGAGGGAAGAAGAGAGCCAGAGAGCGGCAAGAGCGGGGAGAAAAGGTCCGGGGACTGGGGGATGATTGCCGCAGACGCAGGTATTTATCTATGTTCTTTGTTTTTGTTTTGCTTTTTTCCATCCGCCGAGAGAATATTTTTTCGGATCCAAAGTTGTCCTCTGTACTAACACCCCTCCCTTCTCTGGACCGCTCTTGTGTCACAGGGGGAAGAGAAGAAAGTCGGATGAATCAATGACCTTTTGAGATCCTCTGGATGTCCCGCTGCAGAAACGGACCGGAGAGCTCCTGTTCGGGTGTATTTGAATGAGAATTGTGCTTTGAGATTCATCGACTGGAATTGGCTAAGGGCAAGTGTGGACAGCCCGGCAGCCAAGGAGGAAGTGGGAACCCCGGGCTTGGACAGGGCCTGATTTATATAGTAGGCTTTTTATTATTTTTTTTTTAAAAAAAGGAAAGAAAATAAAGAAAAAGCTCCTCTGTCTCAAGTCGAGCCCAACTGAGAGTAACAGGGTTTCTGAAGGAGGCTTGAAATGTGGATTTTGACGGAAGTCTGAAAACAAGGGGATGTAATTTTTTCTTCCTACATCGGAGGGCAGTGGATCATGAAAATATATCCCCACCCAATTCTGCGAGGGCTACACACACTGTGCTCCCACTGAATGCTCACCCGCTAAGGTCAGACCTCCAGAGTCCAGCTATTTGTAGTGGTCTGTCATCCAACTGTACACACTTGAAAGTCGCAGCCTTTTATTTTTTGAATATTGACACTTGTGTCAGCCCACCGCTGCCATCACGTGGAGGGCTCCCAGCACACGCTTGAAACTGTTAACTTCTCAGCTGTATTGAAAACCACTTCTATTCTCTCATTAGAGGAGCCTTGTTTTTTCTTCTAACAAAGTATTTATGCACAACAAACAAAATGGGGAAAGTGCTGGCAAAGATTTTCGGCAACAAGGAGATGAGAATATTGATGCTTGGACTTGATGCTGCTGGTAAAACTACCATCTTGTACAAGCTGAAGCTGGGACAGTCGGTCACCACCATCCCCACTGTTGGATTCAATGTAGAGACCGTCACCTATAAGAATGTGAAGTTCAACGTGTGGGACGTGGGGGGCCAGGACAAGATCAGGCCACTTTGGAGACATTACTACACCGGCACCCAGGGCCTCATTTTCGTGGTGGACTGTGCCGACAGGGACAGGATCGACGAGGCGAGGCAGGAGCTCCACCGAATCATCAACGACCGGGAGATGAAGGACACCATCATCCTGATCTTCGCCAACAAACAAGACCTCCCAGATGCCATGAAACCCCACGAGATCCAGGAGAAGCTAGGCCTGACCCGGATCAGAGATAGGAATTGGTACGTTCAGCCCTCGTGTGCAACAACAGGGGATGGACTATACGAGGGTCTGACCTGGCTTACCTCAAACTACAAATCCTAATGTTCCTCCCAACCATCACCAGCCTGGAGACTTCGGGGCAAAGAAATTAGCTGAGAATGAAAACACGAGTTAAAAAGAATGCAATCTGAAGCAAATAATACCACAACCTCTCTGCTGAGTATATATGTCAAAGAGAGTAGCAAATATATTTTGTTTTATTTTTCTTTTTTGATAATGATGACTTCACTATAACCCCCCTGGATTTCTTTTAAGCAAAAGACAAATTGTTTTTTTGTTTTTTTTTGGCTGGCTTTTCTTTTTAGTAGTTTGCTTTGGTTCACCTTCTGTATAATCAGTACTGTTTAAATATACAATAAGCTTCATTTTGAGCTCTTGGTGCAAATTCGTTGTTCTCCTCCTTTTTTTTTCCTTTTGTATCATTTCTTTCAGGGGACTTTGGGACACGCGCTTATAGTTTTCGTCCCCTTTTTACTTAGCTCTCATTCAGTATTCTCATGACCCAGCTACATGTCCAAAGGATGAGAAAGTCCAGAAACCATCGACCTACATCAGCATATCACTTTCGTGGCTCGAATGGCCTCTGTCATTTGTAAGAATTTGTATAATGTTTGGACCTCGAGAAAAAAAAAAAGCAACTGTTTTCATAATTGATTGTACCGGGATGATTGAGGAAGTGTGATCGTACCTATTTCCTGTGCTGTGATTACATCCATCGTGTCTGCTGTGGCGGTTTTTGTTTGAGAGACACTATGTGGACGCTGGATATACACACACACTGTGATACGGATATATACTTTTGTTGTTTCAGGGTCTAAATCTGTTTCCACCAGTCTTATTATCACCTCTTTTCTTTCTCCCAGAGCTTCCATTACTGTTGGGTATTTGTAGTTTCAGCTGCCTTAGGAGAGTCCCAGGTTACAGGTGTCCCAAAATCAAGACGGTTAACTACGACAGAAGGTATGCTGAACTGCTGAGTTTGCACTTTGGGATGGAGGAGAAGGAGGGTGGGAGGGGAGAGGGTGGGGATTACTAACTAGCTGGCTGTGCACATGTAGATTTTCTGTGACTGACTTTTGGACCCCAGCAAGTGTTTCAAAATCCCCCCCCCCCCC